GTGGAACGCAGCCCCGCCGTGGGAACCCCCGCGGAGCCGCCGGCCCGGGTCGAACCCGCAGAGCAACGCTTTCCGGAGGCTTTCGGGTCATCTTGGTGCGGGTGACCTTTCCTCAGCGCCGCGCTTCTCGCTCGTTGGATCGACGTCGGCGCTCTGGGGGCGATGCCCTGCGGATCAGCACCCCGCGCTTCCCCCGCGCGCCTCGGAGGGAGGGGAATCATCCGGGCCTCCTCCCTGTGGCCAGGAAAGCGCTCCGTGTCCGGAGCTGGAAGGGCTTGAGGGACCCAGGTGAGGTTTCGTTATTGCCAGCAGCAGCCCCGTGCCCTCGCATGGGCGGCGTTAACGCCCCCCCAAACCCGACCACTGAACTTTCTAGAAGATTCCGCGCCAGCAGCGGCTTCGCACGTGCTGTTTCCGTCCCTTCAGGGCACGGGGCGGCTTTGCTGGTGTCCCGTCGCTGCGCTTCAAGTCTGGATCAGATCTTTAAAATCGGGCTGCTTTGTCACAGTATTTTTTAAACTTGTTAATAAGCGTTCTCCGTTACTGAAATCGTGTTGAACAAAATCTTGTGGTGATCTCCTTTAGCCTTAGAATGTGGTTTAATGGACCAGAATGGGGTTTAAATGCCAGTTTTCTCCTGTCTCTTTTTTACACCAGTCCCACGTGTGATCAGGCACAGGGAAAGCACTTGGTAATTTTTTCGTTGTAATCATTAGAGCTCCTCGTCCAGATGGAGCTGGACAAACCTGTTCAAACGTGACCTCCGGCTCTCGAGCGCCGCAGCTCCAGGCAGCGATCCCTGCCCGCGATGTTCGGAGCTGCTCGGGGAGGGAGGCTGGCAAGGCTCGAGCTGCTTTCGAGGAGCTGACAGCTTGTGGGGTGCTTATGGGGTGAGCGTTGGCATGTGGTGGTGTTGGGGCGACGGTTGGACTTGATGATCTTAGAGGTCTTTTCCAACCTCAATGATTCTACGATTCGCTTGCTGGGTCGTGTTTGGAGAGGCCTGGGCTCTCCGATGTCTGCTCCCGATGCCGGCTGGGCATCATCAAAAGGAATTTTCATTGCCCCGCGTCACTGTTAGTTCTGTGGTGGTTTTTTCTGCTGTGAAAAATATTTGGGAAGTGGGAGAAGCGCTGCTGGGTGCCTGGTGTGTGCCTGAGGGCAGCCTTGAGCTGGTGGAGGACAGACTTATGTGTGCGTCCCTGCCCTAGAACCACAGGTTGGAAAAGCCCTCTAAGATCATCGAGTCCAACCGTCACCCCAGCACCCCCATGCCTGCTAAACCCTGTCCCGAAGTGCCACATCCACACGGTTTTTGAACCCCTCCACGGATGGGGACTCCCCCACTGCCCTGGGCAGCCTGGGCCAAGGCCTGACCACTCTTGCAGGAAAGAAATTTTTCCTGATCTCCAATCTGAACCTCCCCTGACACAACTTGAGGCCATCGCCTCTCGTCCCATCGCTGGTTACTGGGGAGCAGAGCCCAACCTCCCCTCACTACCC